CCATCTGAACATGAGAAAAAACTTCCTGACTGTGAGAGCCGTTCATCAGTGGAACTCTCTGCCCTGGAGTGTGGTGGAGGCTCCTCCTTTGGAAGCTTTTAAACAGAGGCTGGATGGCCATCTGTCAGGGGTGCTTTGAATGCAATATTCCTGCTTCCTGGCAGGGGGTTGGACTGGATGGCCCATGAGGTCTCTTCCAACTCTTTGATTCTATGAGATGGCTATGGACAACGCTGGCTCTTCAGCTTAGAAATGGAGATGAGCACCAACCTCCAGAGCTGGACACAACTAGACTTAATGTCAAGGGGAAACCTTTACCTATTATTATGCCATGCTTGCTCTGTAATATGTAGTTTACTTTAGAGCAGTGGTTCTCAACCTGTGGGTCCTGAGCTGTTTTGGCCTTCAACTCCTAGAAATCCTAACAGCTAGTAAACTGGATAGGATTTCTGGGAGTTGTAGGCCAAAACACCTGGGGACCTACAGGTTGTATCCACCGATGAGCCTGCCATGAGCCTTTAACAAAGGTATACAACACTAATGGGAAGTCAAGTATATTCTAGAAGCTGCAAGCTGAAGGAAATGGCCAGAAGTGGCTGGTACAGCATATCTCATGAACTAGACACCCGCAGACAGGATGAGCTATATATTTACTTCCAAGAGCATCCAACCACCAAGGTCTTTCTCATGTTGAAGGGGGAAATGAGATGTTTTGATTGCTAAATTGTCCAACACTGAGTTTCCCATCCATGTATTGTCGAAGGCTTTCATGGCTGGAATCACTGGGTTGTTGTAGGTTTTTCGGACTGTATGGCCATTTTCGAGAAGCATTCTCTCCTGACGTTTTGCCTGCATCTGTGACAGGCATCCTTGGAGGTTGTGAGGTCCCATCCATGCTCACAATCATTTTTGAATGGCTTTTGCAAGTGTCAGAATTATCAGAGCTATGCCAGGATATGTGGACTTGTTTCCCTCAACACAGTGTTGGACAAGATCTTCTAGCGTTCCTTATGGGGCTCTCCTAGTAGGGGCTTCTGGAAGCTGCGGTCTAACTCCAAATATGAAGTAGCAGCTACGAGAATATGAAGTATTGGCTAGGCCGGGCATGGGCCAACTTTGGCCTTCCAGGTATTTTGGACTTTAACTCCCATGATTCCTAACAACCTACCAGTTGGCTGTTAGGAATTGTGGGAGTTAAAAGTCCAAAACACCTGGAGGGCTGGTGTGGGCCTATGCCTGAGCTGCAGCTATCCGGCTTGTGGGATCTTAGGAGCTCATGGCCCAGAGCCTGTTTGCATGCTGGTCGCTGATGATGATCGTGCCATCACCGCTCAAGCAGGGAGCTTTGAGATGGTTGAACAGAAGCTCGCCGAAGCTCTAGGTGCTCTTATTGCCTATTACAGGGAAAACTAGCTGATCCTCAACCCATCTAAAACACAGACATGTGCATTTCATCTCAAGAACAGAGAAGCATCCCGAGCTCTGAGGATTACCTGGGAAGGGATCCCACTGGAGCATTGCAGCACACCCAAATACCTGGGAGTCACTCTGGACCGTTCTCTGACCTACAAGAAGCACTGCCTGAACATCAAGCAAAAAGTGGGTGCTAGAAACAATATCATACGAAAGCTGACTGGCACAACCTAGGGATCACAGCCACAGTGAAGACATCTGCCCTTGCGCTGTGCTGTTCTGCTGCTGAGTATGCATGCCCAGTGTGGAGAACACCTCTCACCACACTAAAACAGTGGATGTGGCTCTTAATGAGACATGCCGCATTATCACGGGGTGCCTGCGCCCTACACCACTGGAGAAATCACACTGCTTAGCCGGTATTGCTCCACCTGACATCCGCCGGGAAGTAGCAGCCAATAGTGAAAGGACCAAGGCAGAGACATCTCCAGCTCATCCCGTTTGGGTATCAGCCAGCACGTCAACGACTCAAATCTAGAAATAGTTTCCTAGGATTTACAGAGACACTCACTGGAACACCTCAGCAAGTGAGAGTCCAAAAGTGGCAGGCTCAAACCCAGAACCTCAATCCATGGCTGATACCAAATGAGAGACTCCCCCCTGGGCACACAGAAAACTGGGCAACTTGGAAGGCGCTGAACAGACTGCGCTCTGGCACCACGAGATGCAGAGCCAACCTCAAGAAATGGGGCCACAAAGTGGAATCCACGACATGCGAGTGTGGAGAGGAGCAAACCACTGACCACCTGCTGCAATGCAACCTGAGCCCTGCCACATGCACAATGGAGAGCCTTCTTGCAGCAACACCAGAAGCACTCCAAGGGGCCAGATACTGGTCAAAGGACATTTAATCAACTACCAAACTCACAAATTTTGTATTTTGTCTGTTTGTTTGCTTTGTTCTGTTAGAAATGTAATATAATTGACTGGTTGCCCTGACACGACAAATAAATAAATGGCCCAGAGAATGACCCATCTGTTTGTTGTTGTTTATTTGTTCAGTCGCTTCCGACTCTTCGTGACCTTCTGGACCATCCCACGCTAGAGCTCCCTGTTGGCTGTCACCACCCCCAGCTTCTTCATAGTCAAGCCAGTCACTTCAAGGATACCACCCATCCATCTTGCCCGTGGTCGGCCCCTCTTCCTTTTTCCTTTCATTTTCCCAAGCATCATTGTGTTATCTAAGCTTTCCTGTCTTCTCATCACAGGCTATTGTCAACCTGTGATTGTGTCATGATGGTAATGATGTTCATGTTGATACGCGTAAAGGGAATGGGGATGATGCTTCTGATGATGGGCTGGGGATGCGGGTTTGCCCAGACTGGAGTTAAGTTCAGAAGAGAGGCCTGAGTAAGGTCACATTCCTGGGGAAGACCTTTCACTGCTTTTCTCAGAACAACAGCCTGAAAACGATGCGGAGATTGCTTTGCCAGGTGCAGAGGGAGAGGATAGTGAAACCGTGGACAGAAAGCAAAATTTTAGTAAACAGGCAGAACTTTCGGAATCTCAGGCGTTCTGCTCGTTTACAACAAAAGAAAGATAACAAACCGTCATCTAGTGGGAAAGTGAGAAAGAATGCTTTCCTGTCCGTTTCGGCCATTGGAAAGGGTTTATAATATATAATAATGGGAGACTAGTGTCTCAGTCAAGTCAACGTCGTTAATTAATGCTGGTTTTGTTTTAAAGTGCTCTATGTTTCATGTATCAAGTTGTTGCCAAATCTAAGTATTTGCCTGAGAATTTTTGCTGTTTTCTTCCATGTTCTTAAGTGCCTTGCTTCATGGGTTTCTATGTACTAACGGACCTGGTTTCCTTTTAACGTTTATGGATTATCTTGGATTTTGGACTGTTATCATTTTACTATTTTTTACTGCTTTGCCTACGTCTATTCTACAATAAACTGCTTGCTGATTTACCAAGCTGGTGTAGTGTTTCAAGTCAGGAGTGTTCCTGCTCTGCAGTATGACAGCTCTATTATCTAAATGTGTCTTTACTTACGCAATCTATAGAAGGCTAGCACAACCCATGGACCTCCAGGTGTTTTGAATGTCAGCTCCCAGAATTCCTGGCCATTGGACAAGTTGGCTAGGGCTTCTGGGAGTTGGAGTCCCAAACACCTGGAGGGCCAAGGAAGACAAGAGTTTGCCACTTTCTTTGTTGTGAAAGCCACTTGGGATAGTGAGTGTAAATAAATATTGTGAGGGTGGAAAATGGGAAGAGTGTCATCCAAATGAGCAGACATGGGCAAACTTTGGCCCTCCAAGCTGTTAGGAATTAGAATCATAGAATCCTAGAGTTGGAAGAGACCTCATGGGCCATCCAGTCCAACCCCATTCTACCAAGAAGCAGGAATATTGCATTCAAAGCACCCCTGACAGATGGCCATCCAGCCTCTGTTTAAAAGTTTCCAAAGAAGAAGCCTCCACCACACTCCAGGGCAGAGGGTTCCACTGCTGAACGGCTCTTACAGTCAGGAAGTTCTTCCTCATGTTCAGATGAATCTCCTTTGTGAATTGTGAGAGTTGAAGTCCAAAGCACCTGGAGGGCTGTAGTTTGCCCATGCTTGGCCTGAAGAAACTCCCCTCTGAAGAAAACGAACATTATATTGAGAGAATTATCCCAGTGTTTCTCAAACTTCCTAGTGCCGTGACCCCTTAATACAGTTCCTCATGTTGTGGTGACCCCCAACCATAACATCATTTTCGATGCTACTTCATAACTGGTATTTTGCTACTGTTATGAATCGCTGTGTAAATATCCGATATTCAGGATGCATTTTCATTCACTGGACCAAATCTGACACAAATTTACACTCAAATTTGAATACTGGTGGGGGATTGATTTTGTCATTTGGAAGTTGTAGTTGCTGGGATGTATAGTTCCCCTATAATCAAGGAGAATTCTGAACTCCACCAATGATGGAATTGAACCAAACTTGGCACACAGAACTCCCATGACCAACAGAAAAGACTGGAAGGGTTTGCTTGGCATGGACCTTGAATTTGGGAATTGTAGTTCACCTATATCCAGAGAGCACTGTGGACTCAAATAATGATGGATCTGGACCAAACTTGGCACGAATACTCAATATGCCCAAATGTGAACACTGGGGGAGTTTGGGGAAAGTAGAGGTTGACGTTTGTTGTTGTTGGGATTTATAGTTCACCTACAAACAAAGAGCATTCTGAACCCCACTAATGATGGAATTGAACCAATCTTGGCAAATAGAACTCCCATGACCAACAGAATATACTGGAAGGGTTTTGTGGGCATTGACCTTGAGTTTGGGAATTGTAGACGACATTAGGGAGTTGTACTTGCTGGGATTTATAGTTCACCTACAATCAAAGAGCATTATGAATCCTACCAACAATCGAATTGGGCCAAACTTCCCATGCAGAACCCTCATACCATGTTTTCTGATGGTCTTTGGCGACCCCTCTGATGCCCCCTCGCAACGCCCCAAGGATCCTGACCCCCAAGTTGAGAAACACTGAATAAGACGAAAGAAATGACAAGTCGGGAAAGACGTAATAGAGATGTATTAAAATATGCATGGTGTAGAACAGGTGGGATAAAGGAAAGTTTTTCTTCATTCCTGGCTCATCCAATGAAGCCAAATAGTGGGAGCATCGGCACTTCCGACAGCAAATTAAAAATGGGAATGGTGACCACTTTGGTCACTGCTTCTTCAAAGAGGCGGGAGGTTTCTCTTCTAACCCAAGAGTCCTGTACAGGAGGAGTTGTGGGCGATCCTTTTTGGCCGGGTAATTTCTCTACACACATGCACTCTTGAAAGGAATCTTTTTTCCAAAGACCAAACCGAATTGCCCTCTCTGTATCTCTCTAATTCATGGGGAGAAGAAAAAAATAATCAGAGCTGGGCTTCTGCTCTGGAAGTAAAAAGCTGGGTCTCCGGTGGGGAAGTAAAAAGCCGGGTCTCTGCTGTGGAATTAAAAAGCTGGGTCTCCGGCCTGGAAGTAAATAGCTTGGTCTCCGCTGTGGAAGCAAAAAGCTGGGTCTCCGGTGGGGAAGTGAATAGCTTGTTCTCCGGTGGGGAAGTGAATAGCTTGTTCTCTGGTGGGGAAGTGAATAGCTTGTTTTCCGGTGGGGAAGTGAATAGCTTGGTCTCCGCAGTGGAAGTAAAAAGCTGGTTCTCCGCAGTGGAAGTAAAAAGCTGGGTCTCCGGTGGGGAAGTAAAAAGCTGGGCCTGCGCCGTGGTAGTAAAAAGCTGGGACTCCACCGTGGTAGTATAAAGCTGGGCCTCCGCCGTGGAAGCAAAAGCGGCGCTGAGTAGTTCTTTCTCCTTGGCGTGCTTCCTGGAGATATGCTTGACCACGTGGCTGCTTTGGCTGAAGTGCTTCTGGCAGATGGAGCACTTGTAAGGCTTCTCCCCCGTGTGCATGCGCTGGTGCACCAGGAGGCCGGTCGAGTGGCGGAAGCTCTTCCCGCACTCGGAGCACTGGTAGGGCTTGTGCTCGCTGTGGATGAAGGAGTGGGTCAGCAGGCTGGTCTTCTGGTTGAAGCTCTTCCCGCAGATGGAGCAAATGTATGGCTTCTCCCCTGTGTGGATGCGCTGGTGTCGGTTAAGGCTGGAGCGGGTGGCGAAGACCTTCCCGCACACATGGCACGGGCTCTGTTTCTTCCCTTTGTACGTCCCGGGAATTTTTGAGGAGGCTTTCACTTTGCACAGGACGCCCCCCGGGACTTTCAGGGACCGGCACATCCACTCCTCCACTTCGTTCTCCGCCAGCTGATTGGAGGATCCTTCCATCCCTTCCCCGGAGGCGTTCACCGGCGGCCTCGGCCGGGACAACTCGTAGATCCGTTTGCAGGGCCGGCATTTGTACCACATCTCCCCCATGGGATGCGTTGTCAAGCCCCATTTCAGCTTGAAGCTCTTCCCGCAATCCGAGCAGATGCCTTCCCTGTGGACGGCCTCGTGGGCGGCGAGGTTGGTTTTCTGCGTGAAACCTTTCCCACAAATGGAGCACTTGTAGGGCCTCTCTCCCGTGTGGATCGCTACGTGCCTCTTCAGGTGGGAGAGCCGGTTGAAGCACTTCCCGCAGACCGGGCACGGCTTTCCCTGCGTCCCAGGCGGCGTGTCGTTGGGAATGGTGACCTTGCAAATTTCATCTTGTGTCTTCCACTCCTGTTTTCGGCCCCCAAAGGGTCCCGCCACTCCTTCTGGCCTGATAAAGATTTCTCCGTCGTCCTCATCTTCGGAGAAAACGGCTCCCTGTGATTCCTCCATCTCCTCTTTCATCCTTTGATCACCTTCTGGAGCAGAGAGAAACCAGAGAATCACAGAGTTAGAGGGACCTCACAAAATAGATGTGTCAAATGCAAGGACTACGGACTAATCTGAGCCATCACTTCATCTTAAGGGGCACTCCATCAGATGCTGGACTACAATTCCTGTGTTCCTCCTCATTAGACATCATGACCAGAGATGATGGGAGTTGTGATACAGTTAACATCCAGAAGCTGCATTTCATTCTGTTTAACCTCGACAGTGGGGGTTGAATTGAGATACTAGGCTTGTGGATATGATGTCTAACTTTAAAATGCCCTTTAAGCTTGTCCCAACCTCAGAGCCACACAGGCTATTGGGCTGCAATGTCAGGATCACTGTATCAGCCTGGGATTGCCTGCTTTGGTTCTCTGCCATAAAGAAGGGAGGTTGGGGGGGGGGGGGGACAGAGACTGGGTACAGTTGGGGAAGGGAGTGTAGATAAGACATCTGTTTTGTGAGGGAAATTGAAATCGCAGTTGATAGACTGTGGCCACAGTGATTGGCCACTGGCGGCAGATGAGAGTTGGGGCTGATATAGACCGGAGGTTTGAGTGGGAAAACTTTAGAACTGTCTTTTTAGAAATCCAGAAAGAATAAGCCACTTGTCTCCAGCATTTTATTGTTATGAGCTTGATTTTAACTTTAAGATCTTCCAGAGTCTGGCATGCAATTCCCATCATCTCCAGTCTGCATGGCAGATAATCAACAGTGATGGCAGTTGCTGTCCAATCACATCTGGGGACCTAAAGTGTGTAAAAAAAATAAAGAGCACCAACCACAATATAAAAAATTTGTGGCTGGAGTTCTGTATCCACATATTCTCTGTCTATGGAGTCAACAGCCCTTTGAAGGCATGAATATGATGTGTCCCATACATCTTGTTTTAAAGGAGGACACCCATCTCTGGGAGCTTCAAGCAATGGCAATTCTCTTTTTCACCCAGGAAGAGAAGCTACCAGAGTGGCCTCTGGGGCCATATACTTTTAACCTGGAAAGAAAAGCAGGAATTTGTCTGCAACTTTACATGGCTGGAATACTGTATTGTATCAGTTCAGACCTTGTTTCAAGAACAAAGTTATCACTAATATTGTGCACAAAATTACCTGCAACTATGTGTTTAAGGTGTATAATATGAATATTGTGTTTATACTTGAGTCCCATCTCCAAGATACTGCATCATGGAGATATTGCAAAATCTGGAAAAAAAAATCTGGTTCCAAGCAATGAGATGCCCAAGCTGTACTTAGTACTAATCTAAGTTTGCATTCAAACACTGTGCAACAAACTATCCCATACTTCCCATTTAATTGAATGCTTATCATTGTTTTAATTGTTAATTGTAGCTGTGTGTTTTAATGTATTTTTTTTTACATCTAATGACGGCCTGCTGTAAGCCGTTCCGAGTCCCTCTTTGGAGGTGAGAAGGACGGGATAAAAATGCTCGAAATAAATAAAATCTCACATAAACCACCCATGCTGTCTGGATCCTTCTCAGGGGATACCAATGCCCAATGACCACTTTCCTGAGTTTTATTTTATTTATTATTTTATTTACAGTATTTTTTTTAGTTTTGCCAGGAATAGCAGAGGCTGGCTAACTGAGAGATGAGAAAGCCCTTACGCAACATATTGGAACCTGTGTCCCTCTTCCGCTTCTTCGCTCCGCCAGAACTCTTCTCTTTGGTGTCCAGCAAAGTCTGGCCGCCTTGGGAGAAGGTCGAACTCACCTCCTCCACCCTTCCAATATCCTAAATAAAGGGGAAAAGGAACTTATATCAGGTCTGAATAATACAGGCCTTAGAAAAGTCATGGTTAGAAACTGAAAGCCAAGGTTTATAGCAGACATGGGCAAGCTTTGGCCCTCCAACTCCCACAATTCTGAGCAGCCTACCAGCTGGATTGCTGTGGCCATGCTCTAGAAGCATTCTCTCCTGACATTTTGCCCACATCTGTGGCAGGCACCTTCAGAGGTTGTGAGGTCTGTTGGAAACTAGGAAAATAGAGTTTATATATCTGTGGAATATCCAGGGTGGGAAAAAGAACTCTTGTCTGCTTGAGGCAAATGAGAATGTTGCAATTGATTAACTTGATTAGCACTGAATAGCCTTGCAACTTCAAGACTTGGCTGCTTCCTGCCGGTGGAATCCTTTGTTGTGAGGTGTTAGCTGGTCCTGATTGTTTCCTGTCTGGAATTCCTGCTTTTTGAGTATTCTTTATTTACTGTCGTGATTTTAGAGGTTTTTTTTTAATACTGGTAGCCAGATTTTGTTCATTTTCATGGTTTCCTCTCTTCTGTTGAAATTGTCCACATGCTTCTTGTGGATTTCAATGGATTCACTATGTTGAGAGAGTGGTCCAGCATTTCTGTGTCCAGTTGGTTGATCAAGTGCTCTGCTATGGCTGACTTCTCTGGCTGAAATAGTTTGCAGTGCCTTTCATGTTCTTTGATTTGTGTCTGGGTAATGCTGCTGTGCTTGGTGATACCTATATAGACTTATCCACAGCTGCATGGTATATGGTAAACTCCTGCGGGGATCCCTCTTGTCCTCTGCTTGTCCTACCAGCTATTAGGAATTGTGGGAGTTGAAGTACAAAACACCCAGGGGGCCAAGGTTTGCCCAGGCCTGATCTAGACCTTTGAATCATGCAAATTTTGTGCTCACACACTGGGCCAGGGATGGAGGGAAGAGCAGATAAGGTGTGTGCAAAGAGACGAGTTTTCTCCATCCTTGTCGGCAACCCTGAACGCCCGCCCCAATGCAATAGAACAAAATGGCCTCACCTGCTCTCCCCACTCATCTGCCTCTTGCTGCCACTGCAGGAAGTCTTCTGCCAGCTCCACGGCCCAGTCACAGCTCTCCGGGCCCCGCGCCCTGACCCAGCTCTCCATGTCCGGTGGCAGGACAGTCAAGAACTGCTCCAGGATCAGCAGCTCCAAGATCTCCTCCTTGCTGCGCATGTCGGGCTGCAGCCACCCATAGCAGAGCTCCTCAAGTTGGAGGTATGCTGCCCGGGGCCCCTCGGCCTCCTTGTAGAGGAAGTTTCGGAAACGCTGACGCTGGAGGTCGACCTCCAAGTCTTCGTCGCTCAGGTCGTCATTCTTCTCATCCAGGCAGGCCTCCGGCTCTTCGGCTTTCACACCCGGGGAAGGTGGCAGGGAGGGTGGTTCTTCTTTGAGGCGGGTCTCGCAGGCCACCGACCGCACCTCTGGTGGGGGGACACTCCCCCATGCAGAGCAAGAGGGCTCCCCTGCCTCCCGGAGGTCCGTCCACTGGCCCACCCAGGGCTTGACCTCCCCTTCCTCTGGCTCTGACTTAACTTTGGGCACAAACTTGTAGAGTCTGTCTCTGCTGGTCTCAGCCTGGAGGGAGTCCCGGGGCTCGTTGGGCAACCCCAAAGGTGGTGGGCTTCCTGCAGTGGTCTCCTTCACCTCCATCTTCACTTTCATCTTCACCTCCATCTGGCTGAAAGGAGATTTCTGGGCAACAGGACAAAAAAGAAGAGAAAAGGCAGCTGGGGATCTCCTTACTACAATGTGGGCACAGTGGATGCCAATTCCTTCCTGCGGCATGTAGTCATGGATCTCTCTACCACGTGATGGCTAGTCTTGGCTGCCAACTGAGATGATTTTAAAAGGAGATGGATAAATTAGCAGAGTCCAGGGCCACGAATGGAGACTATATCTATATATCTATATAGAAAGTAGGTCTGGTACTGTACCAGTATGCCTAGGAATACCAGTCAATGGAGAGTGGGAAGGGGCTCTCCATGGGCATTTGGCCTGCCACTGAGGAAACGGATGGAGGGACTTTTGTTCTTGGGTTATAAATGTCACTTCCTAATTGGTCTTATCATAAAAACATGGAAAAGGTTTATTGAACTGTAAAAACTTTGTTTTCTGGGAGGGACATCCTGCAGCACATTTTGCTATAGTTTTCAATGAATATCTCAGCGCGTTTCAACCAAATCAATGTAGTTTAAGGCAGCCACAAAAATTAAGTTTCTGGAGTATAACAACTACTTTAGAAGTAAGTACTGCACAATTAAACAGGAAATAACTTTCAAACTAGGAGCAGAACATTTTTGAAATTGTGTTAAATAGTGTAATGGACAAGTCCTCAGACAACAATAGAATTGTTACCTGCCTCTACTCATGGCTTGAGGCAGGGTACAACATATTAAAAGTACATTAAAAAACATAAGATGGCTTATAATAATTTTTGTATATTCGTATATTTTCAATTCTGTGCTAATGCTTTTATGTCAAGCTGCTTTGAGTCCCCTTTGGGCAGATAAAGCGGGGTCTAAATACATAAATAAATAATAGGACTGCAACAATTCTGGTACAAGCCAGTAAAAGTGGTCCCAGTGATGACTGGCACACTGGGTACAGTCCTAAAGACCTTGGCCTGCACTTAAACACAATCGGCACTGACAAAATTACCATCTGTCAGCTGCAAAAGGCTGTTAGAATTTTGTTCTGTTAGAAATGTAATATAATTTGACTGGTTGTCCTGACACAACAAATAAATAAGCTGCAAAAGGCCACCCTACTCAGATCTGCACACATTATTTGCTGATACATCACACAGTCCTAGACACTTGGGAAGTGTCCGACATACGATCAAATACGAAAGCCAGCATTGTTTGCTGTGTACTAATCTTGTTATGTATCAAATAATAATAATAATAATAATAAAATATTCTTATACCCCGCCACCATTTCCCCGAAGGAACTCAGTGCGGCTTACATACGGACAGAGTGTCCACAATACATAAAAGCGAAAACAATCCACAGAGCAAACACTTTAAAGTAATAATAAATATGTTTTTAGGAGAGCAAAAAGAAGTGTAAAGCAATACACTTTGGGGCAAGAAATCTTGATTTAGAATAGAGGAAGTTAGCAAAGCTCTTGACAACAAGGCTCCTCTGTGTGCCTATCCAGCAGCCCCTTTTCTCCTTGCCTTTTGTACATACTTTTATGGCACAGTATCCTTGGGAATGCTGTGCCCAGTTCTATTATCACCATCATTATTAGTCACATCCATTAAAAAAAAACCCAATACTCTATGTCTGCAAATATTGGTTAAAAGGTCAGAGGTCTAAAACATCCCCTCTATATGGAAAGCTTATACTACATTTATTTGTTTACTTGGTTTAGCAAACATAGTTGAGCAAGAAGGGGCACAGGTATACCCCAGATCATCCTGTGTTCTTAAAAATACATAGCACACATGTTCGGGAGCAATGAAAATAACGTCTATCGAGACCCAAATGTGAAAACATTACTCTTTTGCTTCCAAATCAGCAAATTAAAGAGGTGAATGATATGGGGTTGTGTTAAATCCCCCCCCCACACACACACACCTGCAGCTTTTGCAGCTTTATTCATGCATTTGATTAAATGTTCTCTCCAGAAATCTCTAAGTTCTTGAGTACAACTTCCACCAGAAATTCACCAAAGAGTCATACTTGAAAACTTAGTGAGTCCTTGAGAGAACGTCTCAAGGATCTTCAGACATCTCTACGTCCTCCAGTGTGATTCCATGGTCAACTTCCTAGAAAGGGCTTTCTTTTGGGGGCTTCTATGGGAGTTTGTTGTCTAGCTGCCGTTGTGTGAAGCTAGCGTCAAACCGCATTAAATGATCAGTGTAGATGGGGCCTCAGAACCGTGCCAAAACAGTAATTAGTTTAAGGGCTACAACACTGCCAAACCACAACCACAGATTGGAGGTGGGGGATTCTGGAAGTTGTAGTTCAAAATGAAACAATTCCAAAAATTGCCTCTGAATGACCTGCTCCACTTCCATGTTACCCCTGATTCAAAGCTGGGATTTCATGGACCACAATGCCCAGCAGCCCTGGCCACTGAGAGCATGGGATGGGGCTGCTGGGTCGCACAGTTCAACCATACCTGTAGAACCAAACCCTGAAGGAAAGGGAAGAACAGAGGAAGACAGCAAGGGCCACTTACTGCAACAATTCCCCACCGGAGCAGCTCTTCGCCTCGCCTTTTCCAAACCAAAGAAACTCACCTGTCTTGGTTTCCGGCCTTTCCTCTGCTGCTTCTTAGCTGGAGGAGACAAAAAGATTTAAAAACCCAGTTATAACAAGCAGTGGTTCTAGTTCCCAACCACGCAACACATGCAACAAAATACATTCTGAGCATCCCTTATCCAAAATTTGAAAATCTCCAATTCCCCAAAACCCAAAATTGTCCAGCTGGGTGGTTGAGATAATGGGTCCACTGTTTCCGTTGGGTCAATGGACACAAAGTTTGATTTATACACAAAATATTGTTTAAAATGTTATATAAAATCATCTTCACGGGGTGTATATAAGATGAATATTAATACAGTAGACTCTCAGTTAAAGCTCAAGCAACTGGCAAAAAACCCCAAAGAAATAACTGTATTCACAAAGCTGTTTTTATAATACCTAGCAATTCTGTAACATTAAGTTTGTTTTTATTTGTCTTAACACCTCCTAGGTCATGTGGCTGGCATGACTGTATGGAATGCCGTTACCTTCCCGTCGAAGCGGTACCTATTGATCTACTCACATTTGCATGTTTTCAAACTGCTAGGTTGGCAGAAGCTGAGGCTAACAGCAGGAGCTCACCCCACTCCCTGGATTTGAACTGCCGACCTTTCGGTCAGCAAGTTCAGCGGTTTAGCCCGCTGTGCCACCAGGGACCCAAATAAATATAAATAAATCAGTAAATGAATATTCTGTATATGGAATAACAACAACAACAACAACAACAGAAGTCCATAGTTTAAAAGTAACTGAGTGGAGCTAGGTCTTTTATTCTGTCAATCAAATAGTAATAATAGTAACAATAACAACAACAATAGAAATCCATAGTTTAAAAGTAACTGGGTAGTTATGGGTCTTTCTCTCTGTCAGTTGACTAATAATAATAATAATAATAATAATAATAATAACTGAAACCTATAAGTAACTGGGTATAGATCCTTGATTCTGTTTATGTAGTAATAATAATAATACAAATCCAGTTAAAAGTAACTGGGTAGAGATAGGTCTTAGACTCTGTCAATGGATTAACAAAAATGATAATGATAGAAATCCACAGTTTAAAAGTAACTGGGTAGAAACGGATCTTTCATTCTGTTGATCAAACAATAACAACAACAACAACAACAACAACAACAGCAATCCATAAGTTAAAAGTAACTGGGTAGAGAAAGGTCCTTCATTCTGTCAATTGAATAATATTAATAATAACGGAAACCTATAGTTTAAAAGTAAATGGGTAGAGATAATCTTTGATTCCGCATATGGGATAATAATAATAATAATAATAATAATAATAATAATAATAATAATAGAAGTCCATAATTTGAAAGTAACTGGGTAGAGATAGGACCTTCATTGTGTATATGTAGTAAGAATAATGATAATAATACAAATCCATAGTTAAAACTAACTGGATAGAGATAGGTCTTTCAATTTGTCAATGGATTACCAATAATGGTAATAATGATTATAATAATAGAAATCCATAGTTTAAAAGTAACAGAGGATAGTTTAAATCCGTAGTTTAAAAGTAACTGGGTTGAGATAGGTCTTTCACTCTGTCAATGGATTACCAAAAATTATAATGATGATGATGATAATCCATTGTTCAAAAGTAACTGAGCACAGATAGGTCTTTGATTCTGTAAATGGAATAATAGTAAAAAGAACTGAAATTAACAGTTTAATAGGTCATTCATTCTACCAATTGATTAATAATAACAATAATAATAACAACAATAACAACAGAAATCTATAGTTTAAAAGTAACTGGGTGGAGATAGGTTGTTCATTCTGTAAATGGAATAGTAATAATATTCGACAATAAATAGGAATCCATAGTTTGGAAGTAAGTGGGTAGAGATATGTCCTTCATTCAGTATATGGAATAGTAATAATGATAGAAATAGTTTAAAAGGAACTGGGAAGAGGCAGGCCATTCATTTTGTCAATCAATTAATAATGATAATAATATGATGATAATAACTCAAATCCATTGTTCAGAAGTAACTGGAAAAATAGGTCTTACATTCGGTCAATCGATTAAAAATGATATGATGATGATGATGATAGCAATCTATATCTTAAAAGTAATTGGGTAGAGATAGGTCCTTCAATCTGTCAATCGATAAATAACAATGACAATGATAATAATAACAAAACCCATAGTTTAAAAGTAACCAGATAGAGATAAGTCTGTCATTGTCAATGGATTAAAAATAGTAATAATAATAATAAAGTCAACAACAACTGAATCCACTGTTCAAAAGTAACTGGGTAGCGATAGTGGTTCGTTTAGTTTTAAAGTAACTGGGTAGAGGCACGCCCTTCATTCTGTCAATCGATTAATAATGATGATGATAATGATAATAATGACCGAAACCCATAGTTTAAAAGTAACCAGATAGAGATAGGTCTGCCATTGTTAATGGATTAATAATAGTAATAATAATAAACTCAACAACAACTGAATCCACTGTTCAAAAGTAACTGGGTAGCGATAGTCTTTCATTTAGTTTTAAAGTAACTGGGTAGAGGCACGCCCTTCATTCTGTCAATTGATTGATGATGATAACTGAAATCCATAGTTTAAAAGTAACCAGATAGAGATAGATATTTCACTGTCAATAGATTAATAATAATAATAATAATAATAATAATAATAATAATAATAATGACAACAACAAATGAAATCCATTGTTCAAAAGTAACTAGAACAGTAAAATAATAATCTATATGAATAAAAATGTAATGTTCGTTTGTGGGATTGACATAACTCAAAAACCACTGAACGAATTGACACCAAATTTGGACACAAGACACCTATCGGGCCAACGAGTAACCATCACATATAAAAACACTGAAAAATACAGCAGAAAGGGCATTAAAAAGCAAAAAAAAAAAAAACCCAAAGAGATGCTACAGTGCATGCCAACCAAAACACACAATAGCATATCCACACTCTCTTCCGGGCTACAGCTCCCAGCATCCCCTAGACCAGGCCCTTTAGGAGAGGAGGATGATCCAAATGCACTGCTTCCAAGCTGCAAGATTTCTTCTCCTTGGATTTTTTTGAGAGCATCCCAATCCCTGCATATTTCCAATTTCCTATTCCTGGACTGCAACTCCCAGCAATCCTCCAGATGGATAAGATAGATAGATTAGATAGAGATAGGTAGGTAGATCGATCAGAAGGACTGCTAGGAGTGGCAGTCCAAGAATAGGTAGAGAAGGAAGAAAGAAAAGGGAAAGAAAAAAGGGGGGAGGAAGGGAAGAGGAGGAAGGAAGGAATGAAAGAAAAAAAGGAAAGGAAGGAAGGAGAGAAAGAAAGAAAGGAGGAAAGAAAGAGGGAGGGAACCGCTAGTAGTAGTAGTAGTAATAATAATAATAATAATAATAGAAATCCATAATTTAAAAGTAACTGGGCAGAGAGAGATCTTTCAATCAGTCATTGGAGTAATAATGACGATGATGATTATAATAACATTAGAAATCAATAATTTAAAAGTAACTAAATCAGTTTGCCAACTGATTATTAATAATAGTAATAATAACTGAAACCTATAGTTTAAAAATAACTGGATGGAGATAGGTCCTTCATTCTGTATATGGAAATAATAATAAGAGAAGTCCATAGTTTGGAAGTAAGTGGGTAGAGGCACGCCCTTCATTCTGTCACTCGATTAATGATGATGATGATGATGATGATAATAACCAAAATCCATAGTTTAAAAGTCACCAGATAGAGATAGATCTGTCATTGTAAATAGATTAATCTATATATATATAAATGCTCTGTGCATAATGAGTACCTTAAAAACAAAAGAACCACTGAACGAAATCACACTAAATTTGGCAACAAAACATCTCACAACACAAGGAGTGACCATCACTCAAAACATTATGATTTTGTCATTTGGGAGTTGTAGTTCCTAGGATTTATAGTTCACCTACAATCAAAGAGCATTCTGAAGTCCACCAACGATGGAATTGAACCAAACTTGGCACACAGAACTCCCATGACCAACAGAAAATACTGGAAGGGTTTGGTGGGCATTGACCTTGAGTTTTGGAGTTGTAGTTCACCTACATCCAGAGAGCACTGTGGACTCAAACAATGATTGATTTGGAGCAAACTTGGCACAAGCACTTAATATGCCCAAATATGAACACAGATGGAGTTTGGGGGAAATAGACCATGACATTTGGGAGTTGTGGTCACTGGGATTCACTGTTCACCTACAATCAAAGAGCATTCTGAAACTCACGAACGACAGAATCGGGGCAAACTTTCCACACAGAACCCCCATGACCACCAGAAAATACTTAACTCCCTTCATCGGGGCAAGAAAACGTAATCAAAGTCCTCCTGACAAAGAGCCATCCAGCCATCTAGATAGATAGATAGACATGTTTCACACACAGAGAGAAATATAGTATCATAGATTTGAAAGGGACCCTTAAAGAAGGACAATGATATGTTGCATGTTCCTGGGTGGGCAAACCAGACATTCTCCACATCAACAGTGACAAAAGAAACAGCAAGAAATACTTTTTAGACACAAGCATAAAGACATTACATATATTAGAAACCAACACTTTCTCATTACTTTATTTTCCAGATCAACAGACTGGACCACAGCAATGCGTGGCAGGGGACAGCTAGTAATCATTATAATAATAATGGCAACCACAAATGAAATCCATTGTTCAAAAGTAACAAGAACACTAAAATAATAATAATAATAATAATAGAAATCCATAATTTAAAAGTAACTGGGTAGAGAGAGATCTTTCAATCAGTCAATGGAGTAATAATGACGATGATGATTATAATATTAGAAATCAATAATTTAAAAGTAACTGGGTAGATAGGTCTTTCGTTTTGCCAACTGATTAATAATAGTAATAATAACTGACGATGATTATAATAATATTAGAAATCAATAATTTAAAAGTAACTGGGTAGATAGGTCTTTCGTTTTGTCAACTGATTAATAATAGTAATAATAACTGAAACCTATAGTTTAAAAA